CCCTTCCTCAGAACTGTTCTGAGGAAGGGTCACCGGACCTGAAACATTGACTCTATTTTCTCCTTCACAGATGCTGCCAGACCTGCTGAGCTTTTCCAGCAGCTTTGTTTTTGTTTCCACCCTTAGATTTGTCAGGGTAAAGGGTCACAGACCTGAAACATTAAACATTTGTCTTCATAGATATTACAGAGTACTCAACCAGAACATCTGTAATACTTGCTGTTTTGAGTTAATTATGGCACTGAATGATTGCTTATGCTTGCTGCAACTGTTAGCATTTTATTATCAACGTTATTTTCTCATATAAAAGCCAGTGGCCTGATAAAGCTATATCTAGTTCAGATGGTTGGTACTTTTTCCTGTGTAAAGTACCTGAATATAACAAAGAAAAGTACTGTATTATACTTTTATAGTGAATGCAATATTCATAAATTTCAACTCTATTAGGATAGGGAAAAAGTTATCATGTTTCTTCCCTAATGCAGTGTTCAGTTGCGATAGTGTAAAGTGAAGGAGGTCATCTCAGATTACAAAGAGATCTTGATCTATTAGGTCAATGGGCTGAGGAATGGCAGATCGAGTTTAACTTGGATAAATGCAAGGTACTGCATTCTGATAAAACAAACATGGGTAGGACTTAAACAATCAGAAGTAAGGCCTTGGATAGTCAGATGTATTGCACAGAAACAGACCTTTTGGTCCAACTCACCCATGCCAACCAGATATCCTAATTAAATCTAGTCTCATTTTCCAGCATTTGGCCCATATCCCTCTAAACCCTTCCTATTCACATACTCATCCAGATGCCTTTCAAATAATAATTGCACCAGCCTCCACCACTTCCTCTGGCAGCTCATTCCATACATGCACCACCCTCTGCATGAAACAAGTTGCCCCTCAGATCCCTTTTAAATCTTTCCCCTCTCACCTTAAACCTACGCCCTCTAGTTTTGGACTCCCCAACCCCACGGAAAAGACTTGTCTATTTACCCTATCCATGCCCCTTATGATTTTATAAACCTCTCTAAGGTCACCCGTCAGCCTCTGACAATCCAGGGAAAATAGCCCCAGCCTATTCAGTCTTTCCCCAATAGCTCAAATTCTCAAACCCTGGGAGACCTAGGAGTTCAGGTACATAATTCTTTGAAGTTTGCATCACATATAGATAGGCTGGTTAAGAACACATTTAGCACACTTGACTTCATTGCTCAGATCTTTGAGTATAGGAATTCGGACGTTATGTTGAGGTTTGTACAAGATGTTGGTGGGGCCTCTTCTGGAGTACTGTGCATAGGTCTGATCACCCTGTTATGGGAAGGATATTATTAAATTGGAGAGGGCTCAGAAAAGACTTACCAGGAATGGAGGGTTTGAGTTATAAAAAGAGGCACGAGAGCACAGGAGGTTGAGAGGTGACCTGTAGAGGTTTTATAAAACCATGAAGGGTATAGATAAGGTGAATGGCAGGTGTCTTTTCCCTAGCATGGGGGATTTAAGGCTGGGGGACATATTTTTAAGGCGAGAGGAGAAAGATTCTAAAAAAGGACGAGGGGAATTTTTTTTTAAACCTGGTGCTTCTGGTGTAGAATAAACTTTCAGAAGAAGTGGTGGATGCGTGTACAGTTACAACAATTAAATGTCATGTATAAAAGTACATGAATAAGAAATGTTTGGAGGAATACGGGCCAAATCCAAGCAGGCAGGATTAGTTTAGTTTGGGATTATGGTCAGCATGGACTGGTTCAAGCAAAGAGTCTGTTTCTGTGCTGTATGACTCTGTGCTGCAGAGTTCTGCATTCAATGGCCCACTTAACATGTTCCTTATCTTAAGCAATGCCTTCAAATTTCAGAGCTACCTACCTACAATGTTCCAAGGCTCACACCTACAACAGAGAACTCAAGAAAAATGCTAAGAGGTTGGTCAAACAATTTATTTTGTCAAATTGTTAGCAAACAATTGTTATGCATTATGTAAAGAACTGCAGATGCTGGGAATCTGAATTAAAAACCGGAATTGCTGGAGAAATTCAGTAGATGTACAACATCTGTGGCGAAAAAGCAAAGTTACCATTTCAAGTCCACTGACCCTTCTTCAGAATGGATTTATAACTGGAGGGTAGTACATATGCTGAAATGTTTCGGGGAGGGGGGGGGGTGGGGGGACGGGGGGAGAAGAAAGAGGTGCAGCAAAGAGAGGAGTGAGCAGATAGTTGGAGTTGGAATCCAGAGAGACACAGAGACAGACAGACAGACAGACAGACAGACAGACATGCACAGCAGATGAAAATATTTCAGCCACTTATAGATACACACAGTTTTCCGAAGAATCATTAACTGTTACCCTCTCCGCAGATGCTGCCAGACCTGTATATTGCCAGCAATTTTAGTTTTTATTTCAGACTCCCAATATCTATAGTTCATATACGTTTACAATGTCACTTTACATTTTACAAGATTGTACAGGCATCAGTGAGACAGGCAGCATCTCTAGGAGTGCTGATGCACCAGTTGCAACTCCCCAAGGCCCACAGAACCACCACACACAGCTGAACCAGTAACAACATACTGGCAGTCAAATTATACCCCATGAGAACATTATCATTGTTCATAATGTTTCTCCTATTACTCTTAAAAACAGCGTGCTTCACAAACAAACAGATTACTCTTGTTTAGGTTGTTAACTATGATCTCTAGTCCCAGTTTAGCTTTCAGGAACACATGATAGCATATGAAGCAAGGAAATTTAATCTACAAGTAGCCTACAGATTTCATTCCGTAGAGAAATACAACAACAAAACCACAAATGATAGTTACAAGCTAGCCTGAATCGCAAAAGGTAAATCATTTACATTGGACTACAGTATCAGTTGTAAGCCCAACATTCACAACTTTCAAATACTCGGCGTATTACGCATTCAAACTTCGTGGAGCCTAGTCGTAAATGGCGTCGCTGTGATCTGGTGCTACAAGTAACAGGAAGCTAAACATTATGCATATTAGTTTCCTAGGGGGACGGAATTTACAACTGAGAGCTTCCTTAAGGAAACGAGCAGTTAAGACTCACGTACAACAAGACGCGGAACGGATGTACTGCAGCTGCTTTTAATTTTCTACACAGATTTTGAAAAGTTCGTAGTATTTACAGTTCATCATAGCACTAACAATCCTATCTAGTTATTTCCTTAGCCTAGGGTAGACAAAAAAAATGCCCTCTACGTTAGAAATTTCTTCCTATTGTCTCAATATGTAGCGAAAAATAGAAGGTACAAATCACAATCAAAAACTAATCTCTCAAAAAGACAACACTTCCCGCGTCTGCAGCGAGGATGGAACCAAATTGCGAAGCTGAATTAACGTCGGATGTTAAGATGTTGCTTTCCCATCACTTGTAGATTTATCTTCTCCATCAATTTGTGGCGCTGTCACTGTGAGGGCCTCAATGAGATTGAACGCGGAGCTAGCTCTGTAGCAAGGGCTCGGCGCAGAGCAGCTCAGCGATCCCCTTCACCCCACCGCCCCACCCACCCAATCATCTGCCTCCCTCACATTCCCCATCAACCCCAATCACCTCATCTAACCTAATCTTATCCCCGCTCTCTCCTCTCACTCACTGTCTCCCCACTCCACCTCTGCCTCCCCTCCCGGCCCACTCTCCTCACCTGCACCTTCTGCAGCACCGAGAAGCGGATATCATGTACAAAGGGATTCCTGACCGGCGGCAGCCGAGCTCGTTCCTCCTCCTCTTCCTCATTCCCACCAGCGCTGTTTACTTTCGCTAAGCAGCGTCCTCTCTTCAACAACCTCATATTCCGCAGGGAGCTGCCAGGCCACTCAAAGAACAGAATGAAAGCACCGGAAAGTCCACACCGCTCTCAGCCGTGTCGCAGTAGCCGTCCCCCTCTGTGTAATCCGCGCAGGCGCCCCGCCCCGCCAGCAGGCGGTGATTCCCCCAGCGCGCACTCGTGCCAGAGCTGGAGCGCGCACTAAATCATACGGCTCGTGCAGGTACCGTGGAGGATGCATGAATGAAACGAAATAGAAATACATTTTCTGAGCCCATAGAGAAAGAGAGATACTGTACATCATCGGGAGATCCTCTACTCCTTCTTCTTAGGCAGTCTGTCAGGACCTTGGGTGTTTTCTTCCACTTGTGCGTCCTGAGGTGAGTTAAGAGTCCAATGTTGTAGTTGCACGGCCCATCACAGCTGGGGCAGGTGATATTCGATGTGAGTGGATTGCTCAAGTTCTTACATGCATCTTCCATTTGTGCTTGGTTCCCTCTGGGCCCACTGGAGACGCTCAAAATGAATTACATGTCCGATGATGCTTCTACTCCATTTTGGTGGTCTTGGGCAAGATGTACCCTTGAAACATACCCTTGCATGTTTTCAAGGAGGCTTTGATGATGTCTTTAAGTGTTTCCTCTGTCTTTCTGATAACCATTCGTCTTGTCATAGCTCAGCGAGGAAAGCTTAGTTTGGAAGTCGTGTGCCAGGCATGAGCATAACGAATGCCTGTTTGCTGGATACTGGACCAAGCGAGGACATTGACGGTGGAGCACCCATCCTCCCATTCGAGTTGCGGAGGCACAGCCAATGGTATTTTTTAAGGGATTTTAGGTGACTGCTATACATGTCCACGTCTCCAATGCATATAAGAGGGCAGGTGACACTGCTGCCCTATAGACCATGAGCTTGGTGCTGAGTTTTCTGGACTTTGTCATCAAACATTGTGTTACAGCTGAAGGCTGTGCTGGCGCATTGGAGGTAATGCTGAATTTCATGATCTGCATGTGCCCTCACTGAGACCCCCCAGTGTTATCTCTACTGGTGCAACAAATACAAAGTAGAAGTTAGATAGCGTTCAAATAGACAAGAGAGAAGGTACTTAAAATATCAGCAGGCCACAAAATAGAAAAATCACCTAGTCTGAATAGTATGAAACTTAAGTTGCCAAGATAAGTAGGGTGGAAATCGTGGAGGTTTCAGCTACCATCTCCCAGTTCTCTTTAGATACCAGATCAGTTCCAGAGGACTAGAGAAAGAACTCTGTGCAAAAACAAACGAGAAGACAAACCTGTCACCTACAAGCCTGACAGCTCAATATTGTAGTGGGAAAAAGTAGAGGCTATAATTTGAGGAAAAGTCAATCATCATTTGGAAAAATGTGGGTTAATAATTATAGCCAGTGTGAGTTTGTTAAAAGGAAGGGTTGATGAAGGAGGTGCAGTTGGTCTGCATGTGGATTTTCAAAATGTGTTATATACAGCACAATGTAATAGACTTGTTAATAAATGGAAACCTATGAGATTAAATGGGCAGTGTAAATACAAAATTGACATAAAATATATAGGGTAGAGTGATGGCTTTTAGGACAAGCGGTAAGTATTCACTGATATAATCATAGCATCAGCAGCAGAACCATTGCCCTTTTCAATATGCCAAGAATGAGCTGGATTTGAATCTATTCAGCACAACTTCAAAATTTGCAGCTGCACTGAATATTAGAAATAGTGTAAAGATTGAGGAAGATTATAACTGATTTGATGAGGACACAGTTTTTAGACTGATTTGTGAAATAAACACACATCACAAATTAATTTTAATGGAGAGGGCAAGCCTTAGCAAAAATGTTGTCATAGGAAAATTATACTTTGATGCCCTTTCTTTAAGCTTATATATGTTTACTTTTAAATGTCTCTTGCCTCATTGAAAACAAATGTGAAAATAATTTCACAAACTTACTAACCCACTCATCTACATTTTCACCCAAGTCATTTATATATATCACAAACAGCAGATCCCAGCAAACCCAGTACAGGTCCCTGCAGAACACCACTAGTCATGGACTTCCAGCCAGAAAAACAACCTTCCATCACTACCCTCTGTCTTCGGTGGGGAAGCTAATTATGAATCAAAACGACTAAGTCACCGTGGATCCCATGCATCTTAATCTTCTGGATGAGCCTATCATGAGGGATCTTGTCGAAAGCCTTATGACAATCCATGTAAACATATCCACTGCTCTAAACTCATCAATCACCTTTGTCACCTCCTCAAAAAAATTAATTACGTTAGTAAGATGTGACCTGCCCCGCACAAAGCCATGCCGTCTGTTGCTAATTAAGCCATGCTTTTCCAAATGTGCGTAAATTCTATCTCTAAGAATTCTCTCCAATAGCTTCCCAACCACTGATATGAGATTCACCGGTCTATAATTTCCTGGGTTTTCCCTATTTCCCTTCTTGAACAGAGGAACAACATTGGCTACTCGCCAGTCCCAAGAGAGCTCTGCAGTGGCTAGAGAGGATACAAAGATCTCGGGCAAGGCCTGAGCAATCTCATCTCTTGCCTTTCTCAATAACCTGGGGTAGATCCCATCAGGGCGTGGGGACTTATCCACCCTAATATTCTTCAAGAGACTTTTTTCTTGACTTTAAAATGCCCTAGCATATTAGCACGTCCCACACTAATCTAATTATCCTCCATGTCCTTCTCTTGAGTGAATATCAACACAAAGTACTCATTTAGGATCTCACCCATACCCTCTGCCTCCAAGCACATGTTCCATCCTCTATCCTTGAATGGTCCTACTTTCTCTCTTGTTATCCTCTTGCTTTTAATGTATGTGTAAAATGCCTTGGGATTCTCTTTAACCCCAATTGCAAAGCGTACTTCATGGCCCCTCCTTCCTCTCCTAATTTTCTGCTTGAGTTCTTTCTTGCTTTTTTTGATATTCCTCACAGGCCCTGTCTGATTTTAGCTTCCCAAACGTTACAAATGTTTCCTTCCTCTTTCTGACTAAATTCACAACCTCCCTTGCCATCCTTGTTCTTCCTCCTACTGGAACGTGCTGGTCCTGAACTCGGATCAGTAGGTCTTCAAACAACTCCCACATAACAAATGTGGACTTGCCTGATAACAGCTGCTCCTAATAAACTCCTCTTACCTTCTGCATAATACTGCCATAATTTGCCCTTCCCCAATTTAGCACTGTACCGCAAGGTCCAGACTTGGCCTCATACATAATCATCTTAAAACTGAAGAAGTTGTGATCACTCTTTTCAAAATGCTGTCCCACAGTAAGGTCGGTCACCTGGCCCTGCTCATTTGCCAACACAAGGTCCAGTATGGCCCCTCGTTTCGTTGGACTGTCCACATACTATTTCAAGAAACCCCCATTAGATGCACCTAACAAATTCTGCCCGGTATAAGCCTCTTGCTCGAAGGAAGTCCCAGTCAGTTCTGGGGAGGTTAAAGCCACCCACAATGACAATCCTGTTGTTTTTGCATATTTCCATAGTCTGCCTACATATCTGTCCTTTAATGACCTGGTGGCTGTTGGGGAGCCAATAGAATAATCCCTTTAGATTCATTACACCTTTCTTATGAGCTCTACCCATAATGCCTCAGTGGATGAACCTTCTCATCTGCCCTCTCTGAATGCAGATGTGACATTGTCTCTGATTAGTAATGCAACTTCTCAACTTCTTTTACTCCCCTGTCTATCTCATCTAAAACATTGAAACTCTGGAATGTTGAACAGCCAGTCTTGTCCCTGTCTCGGGTTTCTGTCATGGTCACAACATCATAGTCCCATGTACTGATCTCGGCTCTAAGCTCATCTGCTTGCCCATAATACTTCTTTCATTGAAAAGAGTATTATGGGTAAGTCAAATAATCATGCTGGATTATTTTGTCATTCACCTTCAATTGGTGCCCCCGGTTCTTGATCATTCTGCCAAAATTTCTCTTTATCTGCTATTTCCAGACCTACCACGATTTTAAACAGTTCCACCAAATCTCCCCTCAACATTATATTCCTGAAGAATAATAGACCCAACTCTTCCAATCTTCCATATATCTGAAGCCCCTCATCCCTGCAAATATGGTCATGAATCTTTTTTTGTACACTCTATGATGTCTTCCACACCCTTCCCAAATTGCGGTGCCCATAATTAGACACGATTGTCCAGTTGAAGCTGAACATGATTTTTGTAAAAGTTCACAAAAACTTGCATGCTTTGCAACATACCTCTATTTTATAGCTTGGTATTTTATATGCTTTATTTCACTGCTGTCGCAACCTGTCAAGACATCTTCAAAGATTTGTATACATGTGTCTCCCGGTCCCTGATCTGTTCTTGTACCCCCTTAGAACTGTATCCTTTATTTTGTATTGCCTCTGTATTCTCCCTGCCAGAATAAATTATTTCACAATTCTGTGCATTAAAAGTCATCTCCCATGTTATCATTCCATCAGTTCCTTATCACAGTTTCCAATATTTTATGTTTTGTGTCATCCACAAATTCTGAAATTATGCCTGGACACCCAAGTCTAGATTGTTGATATAGATCAAGAAAAGCAATTGTCCTAGTGCCTACCCTTGAAGAATCCTATAGTAGAATGTCTAACTGACTGAAAAACTGCCATTCACCATCCCTTGTTTCTTTAATTTACACCTGGTGATGGGAGAGCAATATCACAGCGACCAGCAGGCAGTTTTCTTACCATTGCTTGACCTGATCCAGTGAGACTTCGAGGTCCAAAATGTGAGGACTGCCAAGTCAACCCCCTCTTAACTGTATACCAATGTGCTGCCACCTCTTGTGGATCAGGCATATTGTTGGAATGTGATCTACCCAGGGGTGGTGATAATGGTGTTAGTATTGATTCAGTGAAAATGACTACATCAGGCTGTTGTTTGACTAGCCTATGGAACAGCTGTCACAGTTATTGCACAAATCCCCAGATATAAGGAAGGTACACCCACAATACTGTTAGGAAGGGAGCTCCAGATTTTTGACTTGGTATAAAGGAACAATAATATACCGCAATTCCTCGTCATAAGAACAGTCCTCTGTCATTTGTCTACTTCGTATCCATGCTGCTACTGATCTTTTTATTCTTGGGCTTTAAGTTTTGCTGATGAGTCTTTTTTCTTATGCTTCTTCTTACACTTT